TAATAACAAAAAAAGTAACAACAAAACATCTTATGCAGCAAGCCGTATGATATAACAATCCGGGAGTCTGTAAGTATGCAAACAGGCAGCAAAGTTGTCCTTATAATACTACACTAAGTTACTAAAAGACCTATATTGCCTTATTAGTTACTAACAGACCTATATTGCCTTATTTCTTTATTAGTTCATCATTAGTCATCTTCATTAGTAACAGAGTACTCTGTAGTAGTATATATTTCTGTATCAGTCCAAGAGTCCTTTTGGTGTATGGGCTCTTAATTATTTTCATATTCACAGTTAGTAGTTAAACGTACACTTAGTACTTAAACCCCAAATGCATACATTTTTTTTGACAGTTAGTACTTAATCTTAGAGTTAGTTCTTAAACTTATAGTTAGTACTTAAACTTAGAGTTAGTTCTTAAACTTACTGTTAGTACTTAAACTTACAGTTAGTTTATTATTCTCACAAATATCCTATAGGTACATCAAAGCAAAAGCAATGCTCATTAAATTCCCCTCATAACCCATCTGATATAAAGTACATAAAAATGATGTCTATGCCCTATAATTGCAAGAGCATGACAATTGCAGCACAATGATGCATCAAAATGTATCTGCTAGTAGTATTGAAAAATGATGGATCAAAAATGTATTGGCACACCATGGCAGATGCAGAAAATGATGCATAAAAATAAAGACAAAATATGCAGAAAAAATGAAAAATGATGCATAAAAATAAGGACAAAATATGCATAAAAATGTATTGGCAGACTATGACAGATGCAGGAAAAAATAAACAGAATACTTGTTTGTTATCAAAGTATTTGATCCGTGAATGAGCATTGCCCTTTCCTTTGGAAAAAATGGATTTTGACAGTATGAAAGAAGCAGATTGGTATTATGTATATGTATGTATATATATATATGTGTGTGTGTGTGTGTGTATATATATATATATATAAAATTATAGGAAGAAAGAATATTGGTATTAATCTAATATAAATTAGGTATACAATTTCTCAATGTAATTAGGGTATACAAATTTAAATTAGGTATGAATCACGATTTTTATTATTTCAATTAATTGAAGGAAGCAGATTGGTATCAATCAACCCACTAATTCATGAAAAAAAGAATTTTCCGGTAGGGTAAAATTGGGGTAAAAGAATGGAAAGTTGAAGCAGTACCTCGATTTCTTTCCTTCCGTGTAAATCCAAGGCATCGAAGAATCAGGGCGTAATCAAATTAGTTTCGGAAGATCCAATTTTTTTTTACTTTCCTTTCCGCGAAGAACGCGAAGAAGAAGGTCGAAGGGAAGAAAGAAAGGATAATAATTGGACGCGGTGTAAGCAAATTAGGAGGAGCATTCTTGATTCCCGTTGTCTCAAACAACTAGTGTTACGCCAATTCTGCTCTCCATCGCAACTGGCTTGGGCCCTTTGTGTTTGCGCATGATTTCTTCTTTTAATCGATTATACTTCTTTGTTTAATCGATTATTGTTCAGCACATTTAATTAATCGATTTTTCCTCCTTGTTTAATCGATTAGTTTCTTGTTGCCTTGGATTGCTTAGGTCTTGTGTTTAATCGATTTGTATCTTTGTTTTAATCGATTAGTTCACACAGAGCCTTCTAATCGATTAATCCCTTTAATTTAATCGATTTTCCTTCAGCTGCATTGATCGTTGCTGATGATGCATTAATCGATTATTCGTGATGCATTAATCGATTATTATGCTGCATCTTTTCTGCTTGTCATCATTCTAGTCGATCTAGCTCTCAAATATTATATTAAAGGATAATACAAGCCTTGTCTCTGTTTTCTCTTATTTTTTTGGTTTTCCTTACCCTCTGCGCCCAATGTAGGGGATAATGCTTGTTATGGTGGCGATCCATAGCGATTGAGTGATTGTTTTTGTAATGTTACTGTAAACAGATTGGCTCCGAATTAGTGGGCTCACCAGGTTACATTGGAGTTGGTTCTAGTTACCTGTAATTAGGTATATTAGTGGTCTCGATGTACTAAAATTTTCTTTCCAGTTACTGTTAATACGATCAAATTTAATCACTTTCTTTATCTATTTTTGTTATTTATTTGATAGAATAATAATATAATCATGTCATTTCTTGTTTTGTAAATTTTTTTTATTTGATATAATTTTTAAATATATAAATTTTATTTTTAATTTTAGACTTGCATATCCTCTCCACCATCATCTTATTCCTCGCCCTCTACTCCAAAGTCCAACCACATCGTCTCCACCGTCACTTGACCCAGTGGGGTCGTCACCTGTGCCCAAATCCTATGATGCTCTGCCCAATCCCAGGCCGACAACATCTTTGGGAATGAGCTACCTCGCCGGCTACGGCTCAAAGTTCCCAAAGTATGTTCACCTACTCCAACATCCTCTACGGAGCCGTGGTCGGCGGTCCCGACGAGAGCGACAACTTTGATGATAAGCATGACAAGTACGAACAGACCGAGGCGATCATGAACACCATTTACGGACTCCTCGCCTAGTTATCTTCACCATTTCCAGTTACTAGAAACAGATTGGGTTCGAATCAGGGGGGCACTGGGGTACATTTCATACGGTAGAGGACTAGGTTGGTTCTAGTTACCTATAATTAGATATTAGTTATTTGTTTGGTATGTGAATTGATTCTTTTTTGTTCTTCCTGGATTGTTATGAACTCGTTGCATACTGATCGATCATTGGTTTAAAGCCGTGTAGCCGTTTCTAATGGCTATAAGCATGGGTGGACATGGGACAATTTTTGTTTTGGTATTGGTTCTGATTTTCTTTTTTATGTTTTCTAAGAATGGAATGTGCTACATAAATGATATATTTCGCTAAAATAGTTATTGAGTATCTAATTATACTTTTTATTTGTAAAATAACTAATCTTACATGGGTGGCCCGGAGGATGTGCAAAGTCGTCAACCGATTACATAATTTAGACTCCGATTACAAAAACTTAGAAGGATTTTCATAAAGTGATAATGTCAAAAATTAAAAAAAATTTCAGCTGACTGGCATCTCGACCCTAACTAGGGGCTCTGACCCTTGGACCCCACTATCGGGGGCTTCCGCCTTTGGACTCCGCACCTCCTAAATCGTTAATAACGTCTATTAAAATTTCTTAAGCTAATCCAATTACACACAATAGTCGATGACACTAAAATAACTAACAATGAGAAGAAATTGGTTTTGTTTGGTATACAAACTTCAAACCAAGGATTTAAAATAGGGAACTTTAATTCCTAAATTTGCACGTGAATTCAAGATATCTATTTAGAGTTCTATTTCTTTGCTAATAACAAAAAAATGTTTGTACACTACATAAATTTCAGAAATGTATTCCCAATTTAATATTTTAATTATACAAATATGTCCAATTTAATTTTTAAATTCATAAAATATTTGTCACCAAAAAAACTCATCAAAATCCCTAATTTATTAAGTGTATTGGGAAATTTCAAAAATCCAATTAACGAGGTGAAACAATTCAGTTTCTTAAGATTCATTGTTATGAAAAACATGTCCTTGCAACTTAATGTTTAACTTATATTAAAAACTTTGTCACCTAAATAATCTACTCAAATATCTCATTTATTCAGTCCATCCCAAATTTGCAACGAAAAAACTATATCTGTCGCAGGAGTTTGCCAGGTTTTTAACATCTATACACCGCCGCAGAGTCAATGCAGATTTACAACAAAAAGTCTCCGTGGCAGATTTCTGTTGCAGAACTGGCATTTTCTTGCAGTGAACGCCTTTAGATCCACAAGACCACGAGTTCCTTTTAAATTTGAAAAACGACAGTTTCCTCTAATGTTTTTGTATGCAGTGACAATAAACAAAAGTCAAGGCCAACCATTGTCTTGCATGAGAATTTATCTCAAAAGCATGTATTCAGTCATGGCCAATTATGTTTTGATGATGTGTCTCGTTTACAATTTTTTTGTTTAACATATCTGAATAGAACGAAATATGTTTTGTTATTGAGTTAAAACATGTTTTTTTCTCCTCATTCAATTTTTGAAACAAAACATGCTTTAATTTTAAATTATGCTATCATGTTTTTTCCTTTTAAATAAGACTAAATTAAATTTTTTTGTTTCTATTATGCTATAAAAAAGTAAAAGGAAAAAAACTAATTACCTAAAAAATGGCAAGTTTAAAAATGGAATGTCACATGTTGACGTGGCACATTTCAACCAATAAAAAACAATCTAGTCAGCGTGTGGCAAGTGAGTGAAGTGGCACGTCGTGCAGTGGCCAGTAATTGATTTTATCAGTTTTTTACACTTTTTTGACATATTTTAAATATTAAAAATTATTTTTCTTATCTTTTTTAAAATATCTTTCTACTTCTTTAAATAAATCTTGTATTTTACAAAAAAAAAGGGAAAAAAAGAGGAACAATTGACACGCGGCCATGCCTTGCAAGGCTTTTATAAAAAAAATTATGATGTAGTAGTGTGGCAGTGGTAAATCCACGCCACTGCCGATGCTCTAACAAATGTATTACGGAGTACTTTTAATCAAATCCCAAATAGTATTCCTCTATGATTTGGATGTGATTTCCTGCAAGAAAACAAAATGCATTAACCTATAAGAATATCAATGTTTTAAGGATGAAAGTTGGAAATCCTGTAATGTTTTCGAGAAAAATTGAGCGGACAATGATATTGTGTAATGGTACGATATTAATAGTACCACGTGTGGCGACTCATTGCATACAAGGAAAAATTCTATCTGAAATATATATGGGCCAAAAAATTGTCATCCTAAGATTGTAATTGGCGTCTTTAGATCCACGGATTCCTTTCATGGGGCGGCCCATTAGCGGAACAAGCTGTCCAATCGGGACTGGCCCAATAATTTAAGGGCCTAATTTGAAGCCCTGCCGAGCCAAACCCCCAAAACTCCCTAGCCCTCTATTTCCGTTCCACAGTAGAAAAGGGGAAGTAGCCAAACGCTCCAAACCAATCACGAACGGAAATTGAAAAAGCGCGAGAAGGAAGTCGCCGAGAGAGAGACGCCGTCGCCCGCCTGCACGCACCACTGCTGCGGAGTCTAGCCGCTGCCCTCCAGACGCCGCCTCGCCGGAAACTCTCCAGCCTCCTGGTCCAGAAGTCCAGGTACGGAAGTAAAAAAATACTAATTTCAGAATTTCTTTAAGAATTTTACATTTTGTTATGTGTAAATGTGAAAAATCTTTAATCCTTATAAATTTGTGTTATGAATTTGTTATGAATTTGACAATTTGTTATATGAATTTGTCATGTGAAAAATTGAAATCTTTATTTGAAATTTTTGCTAATTGTTATGAATTTGTTGTGAAAATCTGAAATTCTATTAATTTAGTAATATGAAGATCTTTTTTTTTTGGAAATTTATAGTTTGTATTTGTGTATTTGATTTCACTAAGATGTGCTTAGTCAATTTGCTCTAAAAAATGCCTTGAGAACTTTACGAATTCTCGGCTAGCTTTTACACTACTAGATTCAAACCTGTGCGTTGCACGGGAAGAAAATTTAGTTGTATTTTTTAAATATTGAAATCTTAACATGTAGTTCGTATTGTTCTTTGTATAAACAGAGTTCACATTGAACATCAAATGTAAATTTATTTAAAAAAAAACCCCCAACTATTTATAAAGTATTAAAATCATTTAGTTGCTTAACATGTTAAAAATAACAGTGCAGATCAACTCATGAAGTACTAATATAAAGAAAAAAAAAATCAACCACCATCAAATTAGTAGAAATTAGTGATATAAAATTGACATAGAGTGACATGATAGCAGAACAATGGCTTATGTAGGCTACTATTTGTAGCTTTCTTGTGCCAAAGTAATTAAAAATTGCATTTGATGGGTTGTAGAAATTTGGTTTACCTTCCCTTTAAAATTTGGACATAATATAGAATACACTCACACCTTAAATATGGCAAACAATCTTTTTCATAAGATAATATCGTATACCCTATAGAACCATTCTTTGCCACTACTCTTCATGCTTGACTTCTGCTTAACAAAAAACTACATCATTTCTTCATATCAAAGGGGGGAGGGATGAAGAAAAAGGCAGATTAGATAAGCACATTTAAGCAACACCACACAACCCACATTATGAAGTAGATACTAAGCTTAAATTTAGCTGAGAGTTAACTCGATGAAAATGTTCAAGTACAGAGAAACTAAGAATCGTATTTCACATGTCACAACCTAATCAATTACTCAAATACATCATTCAAAACTAAAGGTTAAGAACATGATAGTTGAAGTGGACTACCTTCATTTATGGAACTTTCAATTAAGTTTTGATAAAACACTGTACCAATAATCAATAGAGCATAGAGTCTCTTTTAATAAGGCTTCTCTAGCTGTCTGGCATGTGACTCTCATTTTGTTTGTATCGTTGGTTTGTACTTAAGATTTAGAAATAACCCAAATTCATTTTCCCTACGACGTAGAAGCATAGGCAGTTTCATTAGAAATCTCAACTATGAAACTTCATAGTAGATACACCCTTCGTCCAGAATTTAAATTCCCACTCTACGCTTTTCTCCGTCCGGAAATAAAGTTCCTATTCTACGTTTTCATACCCACTTTTCCTAAAATACCCCTTTTTCTCCTCCTTTCTTTCTTCCTCTTTTCTTTTTTCTTCTTTCTCCCCTCTTCTCTCGCAGATCTGGCCACCCCCTCCCTTTCTTTTTCTTCTTTCTCTCCTCCTTCTTTCTCTCTTCCCCCTCCCCCTTCTATTTTTTCTTCTCCCAATTTTCTTCTTCTTTATTTCTTCCTCCTCTCCTTTTCCTTCTTTCTCCCTTTCTTTTCTCGGCAAAATCACGCCATCAACTTCTCTCACTCCCCCCCTCTTTTTCTTCTTTTTCTTGTTTCTCCCCTTTCATTTCTTGGCCAGATCTTCTCTCTCCCTTCCCCCCTTCTTTTTCTTATTCTTCTTCTTCCCGATCAGATCTATGTGCGGTGATTCGATTTCATCTCCTCGTAGACCTACGGTTGAGGGAGGGTTTTGATTTACAATTGCAGGTACGGCGGGGCTGGGGCAACGGTTGGGGCGGTGGTAGGGGGTTGGGCGACAG